ATTTAAATAGATAATATAGATTATATCTATAAAACCTAAAAAGGTCTAATAAATATAATACTAAAATATAATAAATATATTAGCTAATTTAAATAATATAATTATATACTTAAAATAACTATAATAAATTTAAAAGGCAGTTTTTTATTTATTTTCTTTTTAAATATAAATCTAATAATATATATCTTTAATATTAATTTTTAAAAAGTACTTTACCTTTTAAATATAATATATAATCTTTAAAATTAAAGATAAAAAATAGTAATTCTTAATAATAATAGTATTTAAGCTATAATAATCTATATAAAGTTAAAGACTTCTATTTTTTTTAAAGATAAAAAGGATAGAAAATCTAATTAGGCTTTTAAATAGGTAAATTTATTTAGTTTTTAGGTTTTTATAAATATATTTATAAAGTTCTTTAAGTTCTATCTAAAGAAAAAGATAAATAGGGCTATATAGTAATTCCTTTTTTTTAATTAGATTTATAATATAATCTATTTTTTTAAAATTAAATATCTCTATTACCTTATTATAGCTAAAGACTTAAATATATACTTTTAGTTTATAGAAAATACCTTTAAATTAATTAGGTTTTTAAGATTTTTTATTAAAAAGTAAATAAGGTTTTTTAATAATAATAATAATAAAGATTTTAATTTTATTATAAATTGTCTTTAAAAATTACTAAAAGTTAAGAAATTTATAGCCTTTATAGTGCTTCTTAAGTTACTATTTTTTTATCTTAAAGTTAATTATAATTTAAAGATTTTATATAGTAATAATAAAAAAGAGTATTAATTTATTTTAATTTTCTTTATTAATATTTATTTAATTTTATATAGTTTTATATATTTATTTCTAATAGTTTATTAAGGTTAAAAGTATTTTTTAATATCTTTTAATTTTTAATTAATTATTATTTATTTCTTAAAAGGGAATATTTATATCTTTTAGTTATTAAAACCTTTAAGATTTTATAAAGGTTTTATTAATAATATCTATTTTTTTTTTCCCTTATTATTAGCCTTATAAGGCTATTAAGCTTCTAACTTTATTTATAAAGGCTTAAATAATAAGGCCCTTTTGGTGGGCCTGTATTTTAAAGGTTAAAATTATATAAGGTTTATTTACCTTAATGGTATAATTATTGCCTTAATTAAGTAATATTAATACTACCTCTTGGCAGCTATATTAGCCTTCTTTCTTTACCCTATCTAAAAGAATACTCTTAGATTGACCTTTTTAATATACCGGGCTAAGTCTATTATATTTCTACTTAAAGGTCAGTTAGACCCTACCTAACTAAGAGATTAAATACAAACTTATAAGTATGTTCCCTAACCTATTAGTTATAGTTATTAATATCGATTATAGCTACCGTTATAATGCTATATAATAGCCTGCAGGCCAATCAGGCCTGTTATATAACTAACTATAACCTTATTAATATAATTAAATTAGTATTAGTAGAAGCTATAGGCTATAAATACTATAAGCTTTATATAATAGCTATAGCTATTAAGAAGAACTTTTTATTAAGGAATTAATTTAGCCTAATTAAAATAGCTATTTTTAATTATACCTTAATTAATATAATTAATTATATAAATTTAAATATCCTATTTTATATAATATCTTTAGATTAACTAGCTAAAAGCTATTATAACTAAAAGACCTAAAAAAAGCTATAAGGTAAGGTAAAACTTTAATAATTAATTAGGCTACCTTTTTAGCTGCCTTTTTAGGCCTAAATTTAGCTAGTTATAAAAAGTAGCTATAAAATATAATTATTAAAGTTAAGTATATATTTAGCTTTCTCTTATTTATATAAAGGTTAATAGGCTAGTTATAATCTAAGACTATAAAAGTAAAGCTAGGATATATATCTGTAAATAGAGTTTTGGGATAAATGCGGGGTAATGGCGGGGTTTGAAGGTTCTGTTAAAGTCAGAATTGAAGGAATTGGGTTGACTCTGTTTGTGTAAGTTAGTTGGCGAAAGCTAAATTGACCTAAAGTTAATAACGACTCTACTAATTAAATGTATATATAAGGGCATGTGACCAATTGACCTTATGTCTAAGAATAGATAAAGTAATATTAGTAAAGAAGCAGTGGTTTAAACTGGGGGTATCTATTTTTATATTATAATTTAAATAGGCCTATATTTTAATAGTTTTATTATCTTAAATCTTAATTATAATTAAAATCTTTCTCTTAAAGTAAATTTAAAGTATATTTTAATTATAAATTAGAGTTATTTTAAAGGTATTAACTAGAAATTAATCTATATATTTAATTATATTTAGTTTTTTAATTTTTTTATTTAATTTATCTTTTTAGATTTAAGGTAGTTTTTTAAATAATAGCCTTTTTTATAATAATTATAGTCTTTTATAGAATTTAAGTCTTTTTTTTTTTTTCCTTAAGTTAATAATAAAAAAGTAATTCAAATTACTTTTTTAAGATTATTAATATAAATATAATTT